TATTTAATAGAGTGGGTTGCTATGAAAAAACCTGGCTCCTAGGCCGCAGAGTGTGTAGAAAGCTGAAAACTGGATCCCTTCCCTTTACACCGTTATACAAAAATTAATTTCAAGATGGATTAAAGGACTTAAATTGTTAGACCTAAAACACATAAAAAACCCTAGAAGAAAACCTAGACAATTCCATTCAGGCCATAGGTGACGGGGAAAGGACTTCTTGGACTTTAAAACACCAAAAGCAATGGCAACAAAAAACCCAAAATAGACCAATGGGATCTACATTAAACCTAAAGAGCTTTCTGGCACAGCAAAAGAAAATACATAAGCTAAGTGAACAGGCAGAAAATTTTTACAAATCTACCCATCTTACAAAGGGCTAATATCCAGGAAGTCTACCAAGAACTTAGAACAATTAAAGCCAGAAAAAAAAATCAAACAAACCCATTCAAAAAGATTGCAAGGGAAAGGGATTATGGAAACAAGACACTTCTTTCAAAGGAAGACATTTATTCAGCCAACAGGACACATGAAAACATCGCTCATCATCAACTAGGCCAATCAGAGAATGCAAATCAAAAACCCACAATGAGATACCATCTCACACAGGTTTAGAATGGGATCATTAAAAAGTCAGGAAACAACAAGGGTTGCTGGATGGAAGGATGTGGATGAATAGGAATGCTGTTTACAGTAGTTGGTGGGGAGGTGTAAAATGTTTCAACCATTGTGGAAAGACAGGAGTGTGGCAATTCCTCATAGAGGGACCCTAGAACTAGAATACATTTGACCAGCCATCCCATACTGGTAATATACCAAAGGGATTATAAATCATGCTGCTTATAGAAGACACAGCCGCACTTATTCACAATAGCAAAGACCTTGGAATCCAATCCTAAATGTCCAATCAATGATAGACTGGATTTAATGAAAAATGGAGCACATTTGGACGGCCGAGACGGGTTGGGATCAGAGTCACAGAGGTCGAGACCATCCCTGGGCTTAACACAGTGGTTGACAGCCCCCGTCTCACTAAAAATACAACAAAAAACTAGCCTGGCGATGGGGCCGGCCCGGGGGTGGCGGGTGCCTGTATTTCCCAGCTTAACTCGGCGAGGGTGAGGGCAGCGAGATGGCCGTAAACCCGGGAGGTGGGGCTTGCAGGTGAGCTGAGATCCGGCCGACTTGGACTTCCCAGCCTGGGCAGACAGAGAGAGACTCCGTCTCAAAACAAAAGAAAAAAGAAAAAAAAAAAAGAAACGTGGGCACATATACACATGGGGAATTACTATTGCAGCGCATTAATAAAGGATGGGTTCATGTCCTTTTTTGTGGGGACATGGATGAACGCTAGAAAAAACCATCATTCTGAGCAAACTGTCGCAAAAGAAACAGGAAAAATTCAAACACCACATGTTCATCACCCATAGGTGAGAATTTGTACAATGAGATCACGTGGACCACAGGGGTTGGGGAACAATCACCACTGGGGCCTGTTGTGTGGTCGGGGAGAGGAGGGAGGGAATAGCATTAGGAGGATATACCTAAATTGTAAATGACGAGTTAAACGGGTGTGCAGCACCACCAACATTGAGACATGGATATCATATGTACACAAACCTGGCATTTGTGGAGCATGTACCCCTATGAACCCTTTAAAGTATATCTAATATATAGAAAGGAAAGTAATTAAAAAAAGTCCCTCTCCTAGAAAGGAACAAACACAACAACACAACTTATTTCTTATATAAGTTATTATTTCTTAAATGCATATCTGGTTATGACCTCTGATTTAGGAGACCCTGACTCAGATAATGGTCAAAGAGAATTGGGGCCCCTGGTTTGTTATCTTCAGGCATTCAGCTAAGTAGAATATTTAAAAGGCTGTTTTCTTGACAATCTGTTTATTTCACACTAGGGTAAATGCATTCTTCCTTAACTTTCTGAGTAAGTTTACCCTAGTGCTGTTATCCTATTGATATCCAACCATCAGGGATATTGGTCTGTAGTTTTCTTTTTTTTGTTACATCCTTTCCTGGTTTTGGTATTTGGGTGATATTGGCTTCATAGAACAATTTAGAAAGGATTTCCTCTTTCTCTATCTTTTGGAATATTGTCAATAGGATAAGAGCACTAGGGTAAATTTGCTCAGAGAGTTAAGGAAGAATGGAATTGTTTAAAACACAGGCTTTGATCTTGCATTTAGAATATGAGCTATTGGAAATGAAAGAAAAATGATGGAAGACGCTTTGATGAGTGGAAGAAAAGTAGTTACTTCTTTAGGAAAAATGTTGTTATTTTAGAGACTAGGTTGGATGATATAAACCTGAAAAGTTTTAAATGCTCTTAAAGGCATACGCCTGTAGTGCTAGCTAACTCGGGAGGCCCAGGCAGGAGAATCGCTTGAACCCGGGAGGTGGAGGTTGCAGTGAGGCAAGATCGTGCCACTCCAGCCTGGTGACAGAGCGAGACTCTGTCTTAAAAAATAATAATAATAACAATAATAATAACAATAATAATAATAATAATAAAAGAGGCATCATGACTGGTGCCTAAACATCCAACAAGCAAAGAAAGAAAAGAAAGGAGACCACTGTCCCGAAAGATTGTCCAGATGCGGGGGACTAGTAGGAGACGTACTCTTAAAGCTGCTGCATTGAGGAATAGGAGAGCCACACTGAATAGCATGTAAAATTTGTATTGGACTATAAAGGATGACCAGGAAGATCAGAGTGAAATTGTTCAGGGATTATTTCACTAGTGCCAAGATGACACAGTTATTATAGCGGTGAGGCAGGATCAGTGGATATTGTGAGGAACTGCATGCAGGTAATCTTCTAATGGAAGGTTCAGGGAGAATGAGATAGCCAGACTAAGGCACTGGCTTTCTCACTGGGAGATTTTTCACCTTACCCCCAGGAGACAGCTGCCAATGTCTGGAGACATGTTTTGATAATCAGGATATTGGGGGGCAGGGAGGGGGTGAAGCTACTGCCTGCTAAAAATCCTATAATGCACACACAACAAATTATCTAGTTCAAAATATCAGCAGTGCTGAGATTGAGAAACCTTGTCTAACAGCTGGGTGTGGTGGCTGATACCTGTAATCCCGGCACTTTGGGAGGCCGAGGCAGGAGTTTAAGACCAGCCTGGCGTTGGTCAGGTAACATGGTGAAACCCCATCTCTACTAAAAATATAAAAATTCAGCCAGGCTTGGTGGCATGTGCCTGTAGTCTCAGCTACTCTGGAGGCTGAGGCAGGACAATTGCTTGAGCTGGGGAGGCAGAGTTTGCAGCAAGCCAAAATCGCTCCACAGCACTCCAGCCTGGGTGACAGAGCAAGTGAGACTCCGTCTCAAATAGGAAAAAAAAAGAAATCTTGTCTAAGGAAAGCCAGTCTGGGCTACAACTTTTGAGTCCAGATGGAGTCAGATGTCGGGCTGATGGGTACAAGTATCCTGCTTGGAGAGTCAGACGTGGACAGGATTTGCTTAAACTATGGATATTTTGGCAGCTTCTGAAGTTACTGGCTTCACATCTATTATTAAGGAAGATCTAGAAGGACAACATCTGGAATAGCATCACAAAGAAAACAAATGAATGGGGGTGAAAGCAAAGAGAAAGAGAAAGAAAAAGGAGACAGGTGCTATGATCCAGCCAGGGTATTAGCAATTCATATGGAAAAGGGAGGGAGCCAAATTAGGAAGAATATTACACTTTTACAAACAGCTGAGTTTGTTTGAAAAGAGTGGAGAATGATAAGACAAATGAAACAGCAGAGGCCTTTGCCACTGCAATAGGAATGAAGGTGGCAGAGATAAATGTTCTGGCTATCAGTGAAGTAGCATAATTCACTCAAGGCCTGGAGATTTAAAGACCAGGGAAAGGAAAAGCACATGGTAGAGGATGGAATGCCTACCTAAGCAAGCCAGCTGCAGCTACATCCGTAAGAGCTTCAGTTTGAAGATCTGTTGAGATAACTATGCCAGCAGAGAAGGTGCATCACTCAAAGACATGACTACAGCAGTGGTTCTCAAACACAGTGTGCATTAGGATCACCTGAAGAGCTTGTCAAAATCCAGATTGCTGGGCCCCAGCTTCAGAGTGTTTGGTACAATAGGTCTGCATGCAGTTTGAGAGTCTGTATTTCTAATGAACTCCCAGGTGATGCTGATGCTGCTGTTCAGGGGGCACATTTTGAGAAGCACTAGTCTTCAGAACTCCAGTGTAGGAAGCAAAGACAATAGACACTGCCTCCTGTGATTCTGCTGCAGCTGCAGAAATATAAAAAGGAGAGCAAGATTGAAACTCTGGGGAAGGCACAACCATGCACCTTGCTTAGACAGGGGCCTCTCACTCTTGGAGCACTCTGCTCTGAGAGGTAGAGGATGCTGGGCTATTGTAAAAACCTACCCTTGATTGAGCATTGAGGAGGGGGCAACATGTAGGGCTCAAATCTGGAATGGAAATTAAAAACATTAAAATGTATAACATAGAACTGAGCCACAAGGAGACCCAGAGACACAGGCCACCATTGAAATTTCTTAATTTTGCAAGTAGAGAGGAATGTCTCAAAGTCCAGTCTCGGAGAAAGGAAACAGGATGCATGGGCCCATCGCCATCTCTTGCCAAAGGATATGGGAAGCACGGGGATAGTATTAATTTCTTCATATCACTTGGCACAAAATTTCTATGTTTAATTATTTATGCTCCCAGCTCACAAATGCTAGACCGGCATTCTTACAAAACTGAAACCAAAAACATTTTCTCTTTTTTCCAGATGTTTCTGGCAACCTTCTCCCCCAGATAACACTGTGATCCATAGCTGATAACCACAGTGTGGGCCTGGTACTTTCCATCCCATTGACTTCTTTGCTATTCTCTGTGCATATATTCTACCAGCAGAAAGGGGGGTTGAATAGACAGATTCAGGCCACAAACTCCATCCTGTGCTTCTCAAATCTAGTAAGAGACTGCTCAACTAAACTGTATACATCCATCTACTAAGGGACTATCATGTAACCATGGGCCATGGGGAGGGAAGAACTTAATGTAACAGTTGTAATTACTTGGAGGAAAAGCTCATGATACAATGGAAAATAAAGCAGAAGACAATTGAATAGATAATAATATGAATTACATGAAAACACAGCAAATAAAGTACTATATATAGACAAAACTATAAATGGAAATGCACTGAAATATATACTAGGGCTATTGGTAAGTGGTGGGCATTTTGTCCGAAATTTTTTATAATGAATTTAATATATAATAGGAAAAATAAACTTTATCAACTTTAAGTATTTTAATGCAAGTGTTAATATTATAAAGTCATGAGGATCTTTATTTCTCAAAGACAGGAAAAGTAGAAAAATAAATTTCAAAATGGCAAGGAAAATGTGGATGGAAGCATGCTTTCAGGTGATAAAGAGACTTGTGATCTGATAGAGGATATATGAAGAGGAAAGGGTGATTACTTCTCCTATAGGGGAGGGATTATTAACCAAGAGATTCTGTCATTTCTTGATATTTCAGGACTAGTGTAGATTTGATGCACTAGTGTAGAAAGATGTTAAGCAAAGCTGGCCTAATATTGCTAACCAATTGCAGAAGTGTGAAAGAAATTTTAACACTCTATAGATATAATGAAAATCAACAAATTTGGGAATGACTTAATGAATACCACATGGAAAAATAGAATGAATTGGCTATGAAAAAAAAAAATCAGAAATTTCTCCTCGAAGGGATGGCTATAGTATCACTTTTCATTATAAATGAGGAATATAAACACACTGTCAAAAATACACATTGTCAAATGAATTCAAACAAAAATATTTTAGCTTTCTGTCAGTTGAGTAGAAAAAGTTTATATTTTAATTTAAGTATCAAGAGAAAGGATTTAATGGCTTATGAGTAACTTTGCAGAGAGCAGGAGCAATAAAAATTGCAAACAGATGATATGTAAATAAATATTTGTATCAACTTTTATAAATATTTAGAAGTGCTGACAACTCCCAATTATTTTGTTTTAACTGGTTCACACAGAAACTAATTTTTGACAATTATACCCAGCTAATTAATACTTCAGTAGCTCAGCTAATGTCTTTGATGTGAAGAGTGCTTTGGGGAAAAAGACTGGGTAGTCACCCCTTTGTACTAGGGAGAAATAAACTCTTCATTCAGTCCTGAAATCACAGTGATTTGCAAGCCTCCTTCTGCAGCCAAGGAAATTTTGATTCAGGAGAATGGAGCCAAGAAGGGTATAATACAAAATTTTTGTTTTGCTTTGTTTGTTTGTTTGTTTTTTGAGACAGAGTCTTGCCCTGTCGCCCATGCTGGAGTGCAGTGGCGCCATCTCAGCTCACTGCAAGCTCCGCCTCCCGGGTTCACACCGTTCTCCTGCTTCAGCCTCCCGAGTAGCTGGGACTACAGGCGCCCGCCACCACGCCCGGATAAATTTTTTGTATTTTTAGTAGAGACAGGGTTTCACCGTGTTAGCCAGGACGGTCTCGGTTTCCTGACCTCGTGATCCGCCTGCCTCGGCCTCCTCCCAAAGTGCTGGGATTACAGGTGTGAGCCACCACTCCTGGCCAATACAAAGTTTTTAAAACCAGTGGTGCTGGGATTACAGATGGGGAGGAGGTACAGGGGCAAAGCTCACAAAAAGCGTTTGACATTGATTTTGAAATGTCTATATTATGACAATGGTTTCCAATCCATAATGTATGATCATAAACAGTGCCTGAGCCAGGCGCAGTGACTTGTGCCTGTAATCCTAGCACTTTGGGAGGCCGAGGCGGGCAGATCACTTGAGGTCAGCAGTTCGAGACCAAACCTGGCCAACATGGCAAAATCCCAGTTCTACTAAAAATACAAAAATTAGCTGGGCATGGTGGTGGGTGCCTGTAATCCCAGCTACTCGGGAGGCTGAGACAGGAGAATCACTTGAACCTAGGAGCGGGGGATTGCAGTGAGTTGAGATCATGCCACTTCACTCCAGCCTGGGCGACAGAGCAAAACTCCATCTCAAAAATAAAAATAGGCTGGGCATGGTGGCTCACGCCTGTAATCCCAGCAGTTTGGGAGGCCGAGGCGGGTAGATCACCTGAGGTTGGGAGTTAGAGATGAACCTGGCCAACATGGTGAAACCCCAGTTCTACCAAAAATACAAAAACTAGCTAGGTGTGGTGGTGGGTGCCTGTAATCCCAGCTACTCAGGAGGCTGAGGCAGGAGGATCACTTGAACCCAGGAGGCAGAGGTTGCAGTGAGCTGAGATTGTGCCACTGCACTCTAGCCTGAGCAACAGAGTGAGACTCCATGTCTAAAAAATTAATTAATTAATTAAATTTAATATAAATAAATAAACAGTACCTGATTTCCCAAGAGGGACCACTAAGATATCATTTCAGAGAAAAAGCAGGCATAGCCTGAAAGTTTGCCCATTTCTTGCCCCTCTTCCTCCCAATTTATATCCCACTATGAGCTTTCTTTGCTCGTTATATACTTTTTATTATAAAAATAGATGCCCCTGGCTAGATTATGCCTAACTTGTATTCTAAACCAATATTCAACTTTTATTGAGCCTCATAATAGTTACTTACACTCTTTGCCAACTGTTTCTGACTCTCCATCTTCTAGGTACATGGAGAGCTGACTTCCTGACTCCTTTGTACATGAATGAAATCACATGACTAGTTCTAGCCAATGAGTAAAGAGCAAACACAAATAACAGGAAGTTACTTCCTTGACAGCTCATTCATTTGCTGAGGCAAGACTCTGGAAACTCTGTTTGCCCTCTGGCATGGCAACCAGTCAGGCTCAAGATGGTGGGCATTCCCTCAGTCCCTGAGGTCATGTTTTAGGAAAATGAAGCTGAACACAGTGTGATGCGCGGCTTGGAGACTAACCATGGAGCTCAAAGTCCTAGAGATCAGGAATGAATATTGAGGACCTGGACTTGGCTAGGGCAGTCAGAAAAGCACCATGAGGGGAGCATCACCTGATGATGGATGTGAATGGGCACAGGAGACAGACAGGGCAAAGGAGATGTCTTCATTATGTCCCTTATTAAAAGTGTGGGATGTGTGCACTACAATTTGAGGCACTGAGGATGAAAAGGCCTAAGATGTATGTATGTCCTGTGGACATCTTAGATACTTAGGGAGACCTTCAGAATGATGAAATATTCATAAAAACAAAAAATGTCCCTGGAAACTTACAGTAGATTACCTACGTCATGGTATGAATTAAGAGAGAGAATATTCATCAAGGTCTGAAATGGCCTGTGTGTATCCAAAGTCCACGTTCATCATGTCTTTTATTTATTTTCCTTTATAATAAAAGCAGAGCATGTTACAGAAACTTTAGATACCACAGAAATCTAAAAACACAACAGTGGTAGTAACTCAAAGTTCCCTGACCCCAAAATAATAAGGGTTAACATTTTAGCCAACATTTCTCATTTGTATTTTATGTGTGTATACATGTGTATGCATTTTTAAAAATTATAAATGCAGTTTTGATTTTTTACTTTTTACAGTTACGTGATAATGAGCATTCTTTCACATCATTATATTTTTTTCAAAATCTTTTTGAACAGTTCCATAATATTCTAATACATGGACACTCCATGGTATCTCCCCCCTATTATAATGGACAATCTACCCCTATACAAATTCATGTTCTTCCATTATGAATCACTTCATCTGAGCTGATGACATCAAGGACATCTTCTTGGAGGAGGCAGAATATTTATTGGTCCCCAAAAGATGAATAGGTGAATGGTGAAAAGGGTGTAGAGGGGGGAAATGGAACAGGTACAGCATGGGTGATGTTTGGCTTCCTTGGTTCATCATACATAGGTTAATTGGAGAGGAGAGTAGGGGCAGACTGGAGGGTTAGCAATGCTAGGATAAGAAGCTTCCTCAATATTCCACAAACGGTGGAGAACCTAAGAAGGCCCCCACTAGTGTCCTGTCTGTGCATACAAGTGTTTTAGGAAGATTATGCTGGTAACCATACAAAGGCCATCCAGACTGGAGGCATGGAGATGAGTTTGGAAAGCCCTATTCTAGGCTGGGCTGAGGAGAAAGTCTTTGACTCTTACTACTCATTTAGGTACTAATTCTGTAACTCTTGGATGTGATACTATTGCTGATCATATAATTTAATTTGGGTACCATGAGGGTTAACTGTTTCTTTGAGCTCACATCCATTTCCAACTCTCCCCCTGCTCTGTTGTATATCAAGCGTAATCACTTCCCAGGCTACTTT